CAGACTTCAAGCTATACTGCAAAGCTGTAATCATCAAGACAGTATGGTACTAGCACAAGAAAAGACACTCAGATCAATGGAACAGAATAGAGAACGCAGAAATGGACCCACAAACGTATGGCCAACTAATCTTTGACAAAGCAGGAAAGAATATCTAATGGAATAAAGACAGCCTCTTCAGCAAGTGGTGATGGGAAAAGTGACATGCAGAAGAATGAACCTGGACCACTTTCTTACACCATACACAAAAATAAACTCAAAATGGATGAAAGACAAGACAGGAAACCATCAAAATCCTGGAGGAGAAAGCAGGCAAAAACCTCTTTGACCTGGAGGCAAGGGAAACAAAAACCTCTGGAGGCAAGGGAAACAAAAGCAAACATGAACTACTGGGACCTCATCAAAATAAAAATCTTCTGCACAGCGAAGGAAACAATCAGCAAAACTAAAAGGCAACCGACAGAATGGGAAAAGGTATTTGCAAATGACATATCAGATAAAGGGGTAGTATCCAAAATCTATGAAGAAATTATCAAACACAACACCCAAAAAACAAAGAATCCAGTAAAGAAATAGGCAAAAGACACAAATAGACACTTCTCCAAAGAAGACATCCAGATGGCCAACAGGCACATGAAAAAATGCTCAACATCACTCATCATCAGGGAAATACAAATCAAAACCACAATGAGATACCACTTTACACCTGCCAGAATGGCTAACATTAACAACTCAGGCAACAACAGATGTTGGCGAGAATGTGGAGAAATAGGTTCTCTCTTGCATTGCTGGTGGGAATGCAAGCTGGTGCAGACACTCTGGAAAACAGTGTGGAGGTTCCTCAAAAAATTAAAAATAGAACTACCCTACAACCCAGTAATTGCACTACTAGGAATTTACCCAAGGGACACGGAGTGCTGGTGCATAGGGGCACTTGTACCCCATTGTTTACAACAGCACTGTGAACAATAGCCAAATTATGGAAAGAGCCTAAATGTCCATCAACTGATGAGTGGATAAAGAAACTGTGGTTTATATACACAAAGGAATACTACTTGCCAATGAGAAAGAATGAAATATGGCCTTTTGTAGCAACGTGGATGGAACTGGAGAGTGTTATGCTAAGTGAAATAAGTCATATAGAGAAAGACAGATACCATATATTTCCACTCTTATGTGGATCCTGAGAAACTTAAAAGAAGACCATGGGGGAGGGGAAGGAGAAAAAAAAAAGTTAGAGAGGGAGAGAGCCAAACCATAAGAGACTCTTAAAAACTGAGAATAAACTGAGGGTTGATGAGTGGGAGAAAGGAGGGGTGGGTGATGGGCACTGAGGAGGGCACCTGTTGGGAGGAGCCCTGGGTGTTGTATGGAAACCAATTTGACAATAAATTTCATATTAAAAAAAATTAAAAAGAGTTAACAATATTTGTTCTTCCAATCCATGAGCATGGAATGTCTTTCCATTTCTTTGTGTTGTCTTCAATTTCTTTCATCAGTGTTTTATAGTTTTCAAAGTATACATCTTTCATTTCCTTGGTTAGGTTTATTTCTAGGTATCTTATTATTTTAGTGAAATTGTAAATGGGATTGTTTTCTTAATTCCTTTTTCTACTACTTCATTATTGGTGTATAGAAATGCAAGATTTCTGTATACGGATTTTGTATCCTGTGATTTTACTGAATTTGGTTATCAATTCTAGCAGGTTTTGGCACAATCTTTCATAAAGATTTTATAAAGAGTATCATGTCTTCTGCAAATATGAAAGTTTTATTTCTTCCTTACCAACTTACATGTCTTTTCTTTTTCTTGTCTGCTTGCTGTGGCTAGAATGTCCAGTACCATGTTGTATATAAGTGGTGACAGTAGACATTTTTTCTTCTTGTTCCTGGCCTTAGGAGAAAAGCTCTCAGTTTTTCCCCATCGAGAATGATGTTAGCTATAAGTTTTTCATATATGGCCTTTATTATGTTATGTTCCCTCTAAACCTCCCTTGCTGAGGGTTTTTATCATGAATGCTGTACTTTGTCAACAATTAGAGATTGCTGGGGTAGTCTTCAATGGGCCCCCAGTGTGCCTGAAGATTTTTTCTGAAATGCCAAGAACTTAAGGCCCTGACTCTATCCAGGTCATTTTTCATTTGCAATGAGCAACACTGAGAAATGCAGTAAGCAAGCTTGTCACCGCTTATTAATAAGTGTTCTCTTTGTTAATGTAACCAATTGCATGTGTCCATCTAGGTCCACTTCTGTTATTCCAACACATCTACCCACTTTGGGATTTGGGAGCCAAGGAAAACCATGAGGAACCTAAAACTTTGGCTACTACTTTTGCCATGATTTTTAAAGCCTGTTCCTCGTCCAGGCATCATGTATGTATATTCTGCCAGCACCAATTAAACAATACCAGCTTACAAGTAGGATAAAATTTCAGACTTTTCAGAGTTCTTGATAGGCATTATCTACTAAAGTTGGAAGATACACACCTAGCAATTGCACTTGTAAGTTTATATTGGAAAGAAATGCATGCAACATGTATTAAAAGATTTGTACAAGAATGTTCATAACAGCATTTTAAAAGTTCATTCTTCATACTTTTGCTTAAATTTCTTTTTTAATCTTTCGAGGCTAGAATGATCCATGTGGTAATGGATTAGTGTTGGCAACACTCTTATGAAATCACTATTAGCTTAATAGAGATACAACTGAACATATATAAAAAATACTTACAGATAGGTGGACATAAATAGACTAGTACATACACATGTATATATCTCTTTGCTTTGTTATCTGAGAGGGGCCTAAAATAAATGATACCTTCTCAGAAACAATCACACTTAGCAGCCAGATTTTTTTTTTTTAATGTTTATTTATTTTTAAGGGAAACAGCTAGAACTTGAGCAGGGGTGGGGCAGAGAGAGGGAGACACAGAATCCAAAGCAGGCTCCAGGCTCCCAGCTGTGAGCACAGAGCCTGATGTAGGGCTCAAACTCATGAACTGTGAGATCATGACCTAAGTCAAAGTCGGGTGCCTAACTGACTGAGTCACCCAGGTGCCTCAGACTTTGGTTTCTAATACTTTTCTCTACTAAAAAGAACTGGAGATCCCTGGGAGAAATGGTGAAAAGAAGTGGGACAAGAAATATATAAGCTGAGCCTAGGGTATTTTGTAGTGCCAGAAAGGAAGGAAGTGATTAAAAACAAAAACAAAGTGGGTCACCTGGGTGGTTCAGTCAGTTGAGTGTCTGACTTTTGATTTTGGCTCACGTCATGATCCCATGGTCACAGGATTGAACCCTACATTGGGTTCCATAGTGAGTATGGAGCCTGCTTAAGATTCTTTCCCTCTCTCTCTCTCTTCCTTTATCCCCCTCCCTATCTCGTGTGCATGTGCACTTTTTCTCTCTCTCAGAAATAAATTTTAAAAAACAAAGGAAAAACTAAAACTGAGAGAAGTATGTCAAAAAGAGTAGAGGAATCACCTGCAAGAGATTCCTATGGCTAAAGCTGGAACAATCTGAGTAGCAAAATAAGTAAAATTATAATAAAATAATATTAAATTATATTAATAATATAAAAGTCATAACATTTATCATATTTCAAACTATAAAACAAAAAGTCACACATCCATACTGATTAAAATGAATTAAAAAATTAATAAATGGGGGAGAGGCGACAAATCTCCTGACAATGTCTTCAAGACACATTGGAGAAGCATGACAGGTAGAAGACATTGGAAAAACATGACAGGTACTACCTCAGCCAGGTGGTCAAAGGCTACACCAATAGGTATAAATCACACTGATAGTATGTACCAATGATACAATGTAACCTTCTCCTCAATAATCTATAATCTTAGTCCTAAAGTGAGAAACACACCAAATTCCAGTAATTGAGCAACCTACAAAACACCTGACCAGCACTCCTCAAAGTCATCAAGGTTATCAAAAACAAAGAAAGTCTGAGAAACTGTCACCTCCAAGAGGAACCTAAGAAAACATTAAAATTAAATGTGATTTGGTATAGTGACAGGAATCTTAGAACAGAAAAAAAAAGGACATTAAGTTAAAACTACAGAAATCAGAATAAACTTTAGTTAATAATAATGTAATAATATTGGTTCATTAGTTGTGACAAATGTACCATACTAATATAAAACGTTAGTAATAGGGGAAACTAAAACAGTATGTGGGAATACTGTGGCTTTTGCCTCAATTTCTCTGTAAATCTAAAACTACTGTAAAAAATGAAGTCTATGAAAACAAACATACAAACAAACAAAAAACCTACTTCTCTTTCAAAGCCCATTAGAAATGCTGTCTCCTGCAAGAAACTATCCCTGGGCCCCTCAAACTTAAATGAGACCTCTCCTTCCTCAGAATCCACCTTAGAATATCTCGGTTGAGCACCTAACACATTTTGTCCAACAAAATTATTTATAAACATATTTCATTTCCCCTAAAACATAAGCATTCTAACCTCAACCAAATATCTACTTTTTCATGTTACTTAATATAAAATTAGTTCAAAGCAAAATTTAGAAACCAACTAATCCAGATGAAAGTCACTTTCAGTTTACGGTGAGTTAGTTATCTCCTAAGGCAGTTTCATTCTACTTTTGAATGACTCTAATAATTAGAAAGTTCTTCCTGCTGGGTTGAAGCCAAATGTTCTATAATTTCCTCATTTATTGTACGAATAGTACTTTATCTCCAGCACCTGGCAGAAGTAGACACTCAAAAAATACTTGTTTTTGGATGAGTAAATGGTTAGCTGGTTAAAGGAAGGACTGCAACTTCTATTACCCCTCCCATACAATTCACTGTGTAGCTAACGATCATCCTCCTGATAATACACACATAATATATAGCCATTTAATTATTCACACCGTCTTGTAGGTTTTATAAACAATTTAAGTAAAGCTATGAGAGGTTTGTTAATTTTGTGCACTTCTAATAAGTGAGAAAGGAACTGGGGTCCGCAGATCCCCACGAGTGTACAATTAACGAATAGAAATGAGGCAGACAACCAGGGCTGCGGCAGTAAGGCTCCTTCAGTATCTCTGGGGAAACGCCCCCCGGGCGAGCAGCCACGCGGGGGGGCTCATCCACTCCAGAGCTCCGCAACTCTGGGCAAATCCCTTCACCTCCACTTGGCCTGCTTCCTCGTCTGAAAATAAAAAGCTCACACGCTCTTAAGGCATTACCCCGTTCCAAGTCCCTAGGATTCTGGGCTATTAGGATTTCGTTTGTTTTCCCCAAGTTTTCAAATTCAAATCAACTTAACACTGCACAAAAATCTCCTGTAAATCGCGTTCCCGCTCAGTCTCCTTAACTGACAAGTGAGAGGTTGGACCACAACTATCTTCACGGCGGCTTCCGTTCTTAAGAGTCTTCCTACCAGGATACAAACAATACCTAAAGTAAATATAAATCCGCAGACTTGACTACAAGGGTTCCGAAAAGGAAGGTTCTACAACCCTATAGGAAAAAACCTCAGGAAACCCCGTTCCATATGACTCCCAAAAAGAAAGGATGGTGGGGATGATTCTCTCTCACGTCTCCAAATCTCTGAGGTAAAAACTGGACCCGGCAAGTCTGAGGAAAAAAAACACCCTGGCAGGAGAATGAAAAAAAAACGTGAAGAGCGTGGTCCGCAGTGGCTGTAAACACACCTACCCGACCAGCAAGTCCGTGGTGCCACGTCACCTCCCAACTTCCAGAACTTTCCAAGAGTAGCGGAAGTACGGCGGCAGAGCAGAGAAGCACAGAAGTCTTCGTGGCCGCCCCAGCCGCAGGACTTGCTCTTCAAGTGCTGCGCTTCCGCGCAGCCGCAGACCTTGCTAACTTTGGCCCCGCCTTTTCTGATCATTAAATGGCAAGATTTGAAGGAGCCAGGAAGTGGTTAGGAGAAAGTAAGTTTGTTTGTTTGTTTGTTTGTTTGTTTGTTTGTTTGTTTGTTTGTTTTTGAGTTGTTTTTTGCGTTTGACTTACTTGCCTGGAGTTAATTTTTCACAATTTTTTTAAATTTAGGCTCAATTCTTTTACTCTTATTATTGACAACATAAGGTCACAGTGACCTCAGGTATATCCAAATTATGAAAAAATACTCACTTTTTTTATTAGTAGCTGTAACTGTAACATATAGAAGCCTGTGTGTTTGCTCTTTTGGAATCCATTGTTTTCAACCTAACTGAAACTCAGCAAATTATTATGCGCTGGTGTTCACAATTGTAAAAATTGAAAAAGAAAAAGCCACCACTTGTCTAGAGCTTAATGGTTAGGATGCAAAACTATGTCTTCCTTAGTAAAATATGTATTGCTGGGAAGAAAAATAGTGCTCCAGAAAAAATCCTTTGGAGCACACTTATAATACGGATTCATTATTCCCTACAGTAACTATTTTGTAAATTTTGACTTGTATATCTGATATTATTAAAATTAGGGGCACTCTTTTGCTGCCCCTGTTGGACAGTTTGTTAAAGCCAGGACAGGGCAGGTCAGATTAATCAAGACCTGACTCCAGCCACACCTGTGGATTTGGGCACTCAAGGAATTGACTCAGCTGCTGGTGGGGGCAGGAAGGTTAGGTTGCCAGAGGACCCTTCTTGGAAGGCCCTCATGTTTCTAGCTGGCTAATTGTAAAGGGGTAGGAGAGACATCCAAGAGTGAACTGCCGAGGCTCCCAACAAGTAAGAGTGCAGGATAGCCTTCCCTTTCTACCTGTAATACCACAAGGAGATTTAGCTGGAATGAGAGCAGACTCTAGTTCTGGTAGTGAAACTGGCAAGTGCAAAGAAGGGTCCATTCTGGGGAGGATACTGAAGTTCTGGGCAACTGACCAGAACAGAGAGGGAAAAGCAAACTGATCTTACTGAAAACCTGCATTGTACCAAGTACCATACCAGATACTTTGCATACATGATTCTATTAATCTTCTCCATAAATGCTATAAAGTATACATTATTCTCATTTTAAAGATGAGGGAACTAGGGCTCAGAGTGATTTAGTTGGCCAAAGTGATATAGCTAGTAAAAAAAGAGCTGAGATTCAAACCTAAATCTATCAGATGTCTGGGCCACATCCCTACCACTACAGTTCCTTCTCTGCACAAAGATCCAGTTATAAGACCTGGAAAACGTCATTTAGGTTACATAAGTATAAAAATGATTTAGCAAAAAGCCACAGACTGTGGAGATAGCATTGATAGTTCATCCTTCCTTCCTTTAATTTATCCTTCATTTTTTCAATCAACAAATATTTGATTGTGAAGAAAAATAGCCTAGTGTCTGGAGTCAAACAGCCTGGCTTCCTATCATGCCTCCACCGTTAACTTAGCTATGTGAACACAGATAAGTGACAGCTTCTTGGTTTTCTCATCTTTTTTTTCTTTTTTTTTAAATTTCCTTACCAATCTCTTTTTTAAATGTCTTTTAACATGTATTCATTTTTGAGAGAAAGAGACAGTGTGAGTGGGGGAGGGACAGAGAGAGAAGGGGAGGGGCAGGGAAAGAGGGAGACACAGGATCTGAAGCAGCCTTCAGGCTCCAAGCTGTCAGCACAGAGCCCGATGTGGGGCTCGAACTCACGGACTGAGAGATCATGACCTGAGCCGAAGTTGGATGCTTAACCAAGTGAGCCACCCAGGCACCCCTCTCGGTTTTCTTATCTTAAACTAAGAATAATAATTGTGCTAGTTCATAGATCAATATATGTAAGCCTTCTAAAGCTGTGCCTAAAACAAGCACTCCATATGTTTAACATGCTATCATTATTCAAATGTTCCTTTAATGTCATCTGGCAGCTGTACAGTATCTGCCCAGTCCATTCCTTCTCCCACTCTCCTGCATAACTGTTTCATACCTTCTCCTTTCCTTAATTCTCTAGCACCTTTTCCTCATCCCTACTTTCAGCTGAAGGTCTTCCTTACTATTTAAATGAGAGAAATCAAAGCATCCAAAAGTGAACTTTCCACTGAGGCTCATGAGCACATCTACCCACCAATCATCATCTCTACCCGCAGATTTTGTTTTCCTCCCAGTCTTGGTAGATTAACTGTGCATGCTCTTAAATAAGGTCAGCCCTGCAGATGGACACTAGATCTCATCTCTTCTTGTTTACTCAAGAACATAGTTCCAACAATTTTCTCCTGTCTCTCTTACAACATCAGTTTTCTCGTCTGTACTGGACCATTCCCATTAGGAAATAAATATGTCATTATTTCTCCCATCTTAAAATCTTTTGTTCCCTCTTTGCATTCTAGCTAACCATCCATTCTTCTACTCTCTTTTATAGTAAAACTCAAAAGGATTGTCTATAATTTCTGTTTCTAATACCTCTTCTCTAATTCTTTCTTACATTTACTATAAGGAGGCTGCCTTTTTCATTTCCACCATGCCAAAGAAATTGCTCTTGTCATGGTCATTGTTAAATCCAGCAATTTTCAATACCAATTTTACTTAACCATTTGTCACAGTTGACCCCTTTCTCCTCTTGGAAATACTTCTTACCCCATACCATGGTTTTCCTGTACCTCACTGGCCACTTTTTTTTTCTTCAATACCCAACCTTGTAGGAGAACCCCCAATACAGTCCTTAGACCTCTTTTCTTCTCTGGCTATATTCACTCCCTTGGTGATCTCATCAATTCATGGCTTTAGATATAATCCATATGCTGACAAATCCCAAATTTGTGTCTCCAGCTTTAGCCTTTCCCCCTGGACTCCAGCTGGTATAAGGAGCTTCCTATTTAATATTTCCACTAAAAGACATCTTCAATTTCACACTTCTAAAGCTGAACTAATTTCCCTCTGCAAACCTATACCACCCCTAGTCTTCCCCATCGCAGCTAATAACTCACACTTTTCATGTTGTTAAATATAAATACCTTGCTTGTTCCTTATATGCCTCACCTCACCCATCAGGATATCTTGTGGCCTGTACCGTCAAAATATATCCATATCCTCACCACCTCCCTAGTCTGAACCACCATCACCAATCACCTGGATTATTGCTATCACCTCCTAACAGATCTTCCTATTTATGCCTTGCCCCTTACAGTCCTTTTTCTACATAGCAGCCAGGGTAATCTTATTAAAATAGAAGTCAGAATTAAAGCTTAAGTCCTTCTGATGACTGACAATGGCCTAAGTCAGCCAGTTACCCTATTACCTATCTAAACCCCTTCTACTACTATTTTTCTAACTTACTTTTTCTGTCCCAGATACATTCTGTTTCAGACCTTCCTGTCCTCATATCTAGGCATGCTTCTGCTTCAGGGCTTTTGAACCAGATATATTCATAGTTCACTCTCTGTTTCCCCTCCTTCAAATCTTACTTAGCTCAACTGTCGTCTTCCCAATAAAGCCCACCTTGACTTCCTCATTTAAAATTAGAATCACTCCTGATCTCTCTTAACCTGCTGGGTTTGTTTGTTTGTTTTGCATGTCATTTGCTACCTTCTAACATATTACATATTATGTTTTTTTGTTTGTTTGTTTATAGCCTTTCTTCTCTCACTAGAATGTAAACTCCACAAGAGCATGGACTTTTGTCTGTTTTGTTTGCTGATGAATCCCTAGCACCTAGAACAATGTCTGGTACCTAATAAGCACTAATAAATCTAATTAAATGTTGAAGTATCATTCACCCTGACATATAAAGCACCTTCTAGTTTGTGTCTCAGTGATAACATATCAGACTTCATTGAATGTTAGTAGCCATGATATGAACAGTACCAAAGGGTCTTCTATTTTTATTAAGATTCTTAGCCTTATTACTGTTAGGCTTGAACTAATTTATTTCAAGCTTTGGTCTTCTGGTTCAGGCTAATTTGTCTGAGAGGTGTTTACTTGAAATAAATGTTCAGCAGCTAACCCTGCTAACAAGTTTTCATTTGGAAGTCTTATGTATTACTGTGATTCATTTATTAACAGAATAAATAAGCCTGTTTGAGTTGTGCTTTTAAAGGTCATCTACCCAATTCAGGTCCAAATATATTGAAACTGACTACACAGATATATTTGGCAGTTCTATAACAGCTCAACTCTATGATTCACTACTCCCTAGAATTCCTACACAGAAATATGTTCAATTTACATTCATGTTTAGTTTCAGAACATCCCTAATTCAGCAGCTGTGAGAAAGTTATAATGAAAAATTAATTCTGTAAATTATTTATTCCTGAATGGAAAATGTAAGCTTGAACTTGAAAGCATAGAATCAATAAAAATATATATATATTTCATAAACCTTGCAATGCCATATTTCCACATTAGTTGTAGAATGACAAGCTGTTATGAGACAGTGCAAAGAATAGCTTAATGTTTTTTGTGAGATGTCTCAGTTTCATAAGCAGCAGCAAACCTTCTAATCTACTTAGTGGCTTGAATGCTTTGATAGATCTATGATAGTCAAATGTACTTCAATATTTTTCCCTTTTAGTCAGTTGCAAATATTGAACAAGCATTTTCTTTTGAGGCTCTACTGGATGTTCTTTTTGTTATCTGCTTCATTCCTGACATTCTGACCTTGATGTTCTAAACTGTCAAAAGGAAACACACACATACACAAAGACTAAGGGAACGTAGAGGAAATCTGATGAAAGAAAAGTGGCTGTTTTCAAATCTAGCCTTTCCCCAATTGTCGTTGATACAGGAACTGATACAGTACTATATTCTCAAAACTCACCATGTATATAAATTCCTATTTTTAAATGATTGGATGTAAACAGTTTATTGCCTGAAGCCTGCTTTGGATTCTGTGTCTCCCTCTCTCTGTTCTTCCCCTGCTCACACTCTGTCTCTCTCTCTCTCTCTCAAAAATAAATAAACATTACAAAAATTTTTTTAAATAAAAATAGCTGGTTGTTTG